AAGTTGCTGACCAGAGATAATGAACACCTGTTTCTGGGATGCCAACCCCTACCACACCCAAGAATGATGCTGCCAGCCTTCATGCAAGGCCATTGTGACTTGAGCCAAGACTGGCCTGGAGGGCTTCGCAACTGATCACTCATCTGCTCTAGTCTTTACAGTGCTGTGTTTGAGTTCTGTGGCTGCTCTTCGTCCCCTAATCTGCAGAGACTGTCCCCTACTCCCAGATGGGTGTTTCACCTGGTATGCCTAGTAATTGGCTTCTTCACCTCAGGTACCATATTCCATCCTCTGATCTGATTCAGAAACAGAACACCCCAGGAAAAGTCTGGCTTAGGAAAGTGACACTGACTGAACAGAGGGTACTTCACATTAGGGATCTAGAGCAAATATGATTTGTGATTACAGGTGGGTTCTATTTGGACTGGAGCTGTCTTCTCCTCTAGCAATTTTTTCCTCTATTGTCTCCCTTTGTTCTCTGGAACTGGATCCTGCTTTTCATTTTTAATTTAAGAGAGAAAGAGAGAGAGAGAGAGTTCCCATTTGCTGGTTCACTCCCCAAATGCCTGCAATGGCCAGGAGCCCAAAGCTAGGAGCTGGGAACCCAATTCAGGTTTCCCATTTGAGTGGCAGGAACCCAATTACTTGAGCTATCATGGCTGCCTCTCAGGGTTTGCATTAGCAAGAAGGTAGAGTGAAAAGCTGGGGCTGGGAATTGAACCCAGGCACTCCAGTGTGGGACATGGGTGTCTTAACTAGAATCTTAACCACTAGACTAAATGTTGGCCCCTGATTTCTGCTTTCTAATCAGCTCATCAACATTTATTTTGCATCTTCTTGAAGGCATCCTCACCCCTAAAAGCTACTTGGCTTCTTCCTTAAGCGTTTGTCTCTGCCCAGCCCCTCAAGATTCTATCCAAGCATCAAGTTACTGGGAGCTGTGCTGGGCCAGTGGGGTGCAAACAGGCGTGCAGTTGTACCTGCAGTGCACTTATTTCTGACTCAGATCACTCATGTGAATTCTCCTGGAAGAGCTTCTTGCTAAGCTCGCCAAACTGTTCTCAGTTGTCTGTGGGTGACAGTTTTCGTAGTTAATCCTTAAATTCGCCAAAGCAGTGGTCCTCAGCTGCTGTTTTTCTACCACAGAACTCTTCTAGACTCCCTGAAGCCCAAGCATGAATGTTGTTAATATTCCCCGAACCTGGCTAAAGTTGGGGCTTCGTGTGGGGGAGCAGTGAGAGAAAAGACTGGAGAATAGGAGCTGGGGCAGTTTGAGAGTGTAGGTTGTAAGAGTGATGAAAGAGCGAGGAGCCATGTGATAATGACTCAGAATGGGACTGTGACTGGAAAAGATGCATTTTATACACATTGCAGTAGTGGGATTACTGGCATTTGGTGACTGCATGGATATCCCAGGGGGTGAGGAATAGGGAAGAAGGAGATACGATACCCATGTTTTTGATCCTGGGCAACCAGGAGAATGGTGATAACATTGCCTGGAATAGGGAAGTCAGGAGGGGAAACTGGGGGCATGGTGTGGTGGTGGGAAGTGGGGAGATCAGTTTGGCTAGACAAATTGTTCAGGCTTTCCGTGAAGTGTGGGCTTCCTTTGCTTTCCTTAGCATTGTCCACATAGGCTAGAGTGAAATGCCACATACAATAGGTGTTAAATGAATATTATTGATGTGCATCACTCATAGCTATCTTGGATGGCAAACCATACTCCTTCTCTCAGGTGTTAATTTCAGAGGGTCCTCTTTATCTTTATCCCTTTTTAACTTAGAGAGATATCTCTAGGCATTGTCTTACCTACCAATTCCTACAAGCTGCAAACATGTCTATGGAGAATCTGCCTTCTTTTTTTAAATTTTTATTATTTGAAAGTCAGAGTTACACAGAGAAGGAGAGGCAGAGAGAGAAAGGGGGGGGGCCTTCAATCCGCTGATTCACTCCCCAGTTGGCCAAAATAGCCGGAGCTGCACCAATCCGGTGCCAGGAGCCAGGAGCTTCTTCTGGGTCTCCAACATGGGTGCAGGGGCCCAAGGACTTGGGCCATCTTCTACTGCTTTCCCAGGCCATAGCAGAGAGCTGGATTGGAAGAGGAGACCTGGATGAAACTCCTGGCTCTGAGCTTTAGTGTAGCCCAGCCCCAGCCATTGCAGCCATTTGGGGAGTGAACCAGCAGATGGAGGATCTCTCTCTCTCTCTCTCTCTCTCTCTCTCTCTCTCTTGATCCCCTCTCTCTGTAACTCTGCCTTTCAAATAAATACATAAAATATTTTTTAAAAAATGAAGTAGCAAGGAGGCCAGAGTGGCTGAAGAGGAGCAGGCCAGAGTGAGAATAATAGGAGACTTTTGTTTATTTAGCAAGATCTAGGTACTTTATATACATTCTAAGTACTTTATATACATTCACTTATTTACTTCTTGCAACTAACCTATGTGGTAGATGTTAGCATTCCATTTGACAGATGAGCAAACAGGCACAGAGAGGCTAAGTCCCTAGGTGACAGCTGATAAATAGTAGTCAGGATTTGAAACTAGGAATTGTAGCTCCAAAGTCTGAACTCCTTGTTTTAAAGAGGCGGAGGATTAGCCTATTGAGCCGTGGCGCCGGTCCCATTTATTTTTTAAAAAAGATTTTATTTATTTGAAAGGCAGAGTTACAGAGAGGCAGAAGGAGAGAGAGGGGGAGAGAGGGAGAGGGAGAGGGAGAGGGAGAGAGAGAGAGAGAGAGAGAGAGAGAGATGTCTTCCATCTGCTGGTTCACGCCCCCAAATGGTTGCAACAGCTAGAGCTGCATCAATCTGAAGCCAGAAGCCAGGAGCTTCTTCCTGGTCTCCCACACGGGTACAGGTGCCCAAGCACTTGGGCCAACTTCTATTGCTTTCCCAGGCCATAATGGGGAGCTGGATTGGAAGTAGAGCAGCCGGTACTCGAACCGGCACCCATATGGGATGCTGGCACTGCAGGCGGCGGCTTTACCTACTCCACCACAGCGCCGGCCCCTATAATGCAATTTTTTATAGTGGACCTGAGCATCCTCTGGGTTCCGTATCCACAGGTGCTGGTGGCGTGTGTGTATGTGTGTTCTGGGACAAATCTCCCATGCATACTGAGGGAAAATTGTATATCACCACGTCTTTTACTGGTTCCTAGATAATCCCCCGCCTGTGGCACGGCATCCCATATGGGCTCCGGATTCTAGTCCAGCTCTCTGCTGTGGCCTGGGAGGGCAGTGGAGGATGGCCCAAGTGGTTGGGCCCCTGCATCCACATGGGAGACCAGGAAGAAGCACCTGGCTCCTGGCTTTGGATCAGCGCAGCGCTGGCCTTAGCAGCCATTTGGGGAGTGAACCAACGGAAGGAAGCCCTTTCTCTCTGTCTCTCTCACTGTCTATAACTCTACCTGCCAAAAAAAAAAAAAAAAAAAAACAAAACTACCAAGCAAACATATCTTGTCCCCTCAAGAGGGCAGGAAACCCACCCCAAGCCTCCTATCTACAGATGTTAGCTATACAAGACAAATAGACTCGTAGATACTGAATAATGACTGATTAACCCAACCTAGTCTGCAGAGAAAGCACTTTTCAAGTTAACTGAAGTTTTTTCTTCTATAAAATGGGAATGGTAATTGCATCTACTTCATGGTTGCCAAAGTGGAGAGGCAGTACATGCAAACTGCTCAGCACATATTAGCACAGCACATCATCTGCTCAATTGTTAGCTATTAATTTCACAATATTAATTACTGCCTCCTGGTCAACTAGGAGAGAGGCTATGGAAAAGAGTGTAGTAGTGCCCATCAATCTAGGAGTGGTCAGTTTAGCCTGTACAGGCACGCTGGCCACCTGCAGATGCATTGGGATTTGATTTACCCTTTTGAGGCCAGCCAGTGGGGTGGGAGTCTGTGGGCCCCTTCAGACACAGGTAGAATGCCCTTCACAAGCAAGCTGTCAGCTGTGGCTGGAGAGCCTGTCTCCAGACCGACTGGCATCTCCCCCACTAATAGCTTCTTGTGCTGCATGTGTGACCTTGCAGCCTTAAATCACACCTTCAGGGTGGGTGCAATCTTTCACTCAGAGCTGTCAGGGGAAGGGGATGAGTCCCTGGGGGGGTGGGGGGGGTGGTGGTGGTGGTGGTGGTGGTATCAGGCTGGTTCCAGGAGATCCAGGCTATCTTGTGTGACCTTATGGCTTTAAATCACACCTCCAGGGTGGCTGCAATCTTCCACCCAGAGCTATCAGAGGAGGGGGCTGGGCCCCTAAGGAGATGGACAGTTTCCAGGAGACCCTCCCCCCTCCCCGCCCCCGCTATCTCCATGAGCCCCAAGCCAATCCACATACAAATGTGAAACTCCCTGTTCAATGGGCACCCCCCAGTAGGATAACCCAATCAACAGACAATAATGCCTTAAAAATCCGGGGCACAAAGCCAGTGTCCTGCTCAGGCACTCTGCCTGCTCGCCCCTCGGACCAGACGCTTTTTCTGTCGCTTGCCAATCAAATAAAAGTTTCTGCCTCTTTGCAAATTGTTTCCCGGCTCTTTTCTATTTCTATACTAAGCTGAGGAAAGAACTCACGAGACTCGCTCCAGCAACTGCCCTCCCTTTCGTGACCGGTAACACCTTTTACCTATCTTCATTTTTCTGCCCTAACTCCTAAACAGGGACGCTTTGATGGGGTTGTGTGTGCACAACTGACTGGGAGCGAAGATCCCTGTAGGGCTTTGCAGTGGGAGCGAGGGCTGGGACTAAAGTCCCCCCCACACAAAGAATCTTGCTCAGTTTTCATTAAGCAAACCAGTCTTCATTACGTAAACGCTCAGAGATAATATAATCAGTGCTAGGCATCGATCAGGAGCCAGGGCTCCGGTAACAGCCCGGGCTCGGACCCTTGCCCCATTTTACAGAGGGAAGGTAGGAACTAGACAAAACTACGTTTTCAGAGGTGGGAATTCCACGGAGCGCTGAAAAGCCGCTTCCGCACTACAGCGCTGACGTCATAATCCCGCGCCGCCGACTTCTTCCGTCGTAAACTGCCTACGCCTCTGGGCGCGCGGCGCCGGGGTCGCGCATGCGCCGCGCAGCCCCATCCGGAAGCTGACTCCTAGGTGCATAGAGGAAGCCTGCGAAATGAAGTAAGGCCTCAGTTTCCCTTTGGGTTTGGGGGAGCAGCTTTCTGGGGTGGACCACCGGGGCTGGGGTGGTCGACCGTCTATAGGGCCGAGGGGCGGGAGAGGCGCGGAGAGTAGAGAGTGGCTAGTCCGGTAGTTTGGCTGGACTAAGCTATGTCTGCTTTTCCTTGTGCAGCCCTTTAACTAAGGTGAAGCTGATCAACGAGCTGAATGAGCGGGAGGTCCAGCTTGGGGTAGCGGAAAAGGTGTCGTGGCACTCTGAGTACAAGGACAGCGCCTGGATCTTTTTGGGTAGGATGCACGTCTTTTCCTCTGCAGTATTATATTCTCTCCTGGCCTACTTTTGTCCCTTTCAGTATTTCTGCCTTTCACTCCTCCGCACATTTATCGTCCACTTTTATGTCCCTGTGCTAGCAGTCTTGCCACTTGTTTTGTCGGAGACCGTGGTTGTCTCATCCACCCATTGTACAGGTGAGAAAACTGAGGCACAGAGACGTTAATGGATCTCCACGGAAGTATGGAATTCTAAAACTCATGGTCCTCACCATTATCCTATATTACTCCTAACTGCCCTACACCTTTCCCGTTCCCTCAGAATTCATGCCCCTCCTTTAACTAACTAGCTGTCTTTGGTCCATGGCCAAACTACCATCCCTGTGTTCATTTTGAATCACAGCCGCTAATTCTACAGTGTGACTCTTCAACAGGGTTATTTCACCATTTATTTCATTCTTATAAGAAGCCTTTGAGGCAAGTACTAACACCTGAGTTTTAAAGATGAGGTTTGGAGGGGATATTGTTTCCTATGAAATGCTTAACAGTAGTCTGTGTGATCCTTTGTAGGTGTGAGGTGGGGTAATGATATATTGAAATTGGTTTTGGATGTTACCTATAAAACCAGGGGAAATAAGCATACTAGTTCAAGGTATGGGGGCCGGTGCTGTGGAGTAGTGGGTAAAGCCGCTGCCTGCAGTGCTGGCATCCCATATGGGCATCGGTTCTAGTCCCGGCTGCTCCACTTCCGATCCAGCTCTCTGCTATGGCCTGGGAAAGCAGTAGAAGATGGCCCAAGTTCTTGGGCCCCTGCACCTACATGGGAGACCGGGAAGAAGGTCCTGGCTCCTGGCTTCGGATCGATGCAGCTCCGGCCATTACAGCCATCTGGGGAGTGAACCAGCAGATGGAAGACTCTCTCTGCCTCTCCTCTCTCTGTGTAACTCTGACTTTCAAATACATAAATAAATCTTAAAAAAAAATAAATTTAAGGTATGTTTTAGAAGCAGAGTTTTGTGGTAGAAACTGCTTTGTCCGTAGGATTTTCAGTGTGAGGAGAACTGAGTGATCGGATGAGTTTGGCTTGTGGTGACCTGACCTTTCCACTCAAAAATAATCACTCCTTTGTACTACTGTCTTTTTTATATATACTTGTGTCACTGTATCAGACTGATTTCTTTGACGGTGGAGTCTGCTAACTCTTTGTATCCCCAGTGCCCGACCTAGTGATAATGATACTTAGGAGTCATTTGCTAAATTTCAAACTGAAATGTTTTTCTCTTCTAGGAGGGCTTCCTTATGAACTGACTGAAGGGGATGTCATTTGTGTATTCTCACAGTAAGTCCATTTCACTTCCTGCCTTCTGGGTCAACAAAGTAGTATACTTTCCTTTTTATTTCCTTTTTCTTTCTTTAAAAATGATTTATTTATTTGAAAGGCGGAGTTATAGAGGCAGAGAGAGAGAGGTCTGCCATCCGCTGGTTCACTCCCCAGATGGCCGCCACAGCTGGAGTTGCACTGATCTGATGCCAGGAACTTCCTCTGGGTCTCCCATGTGGGGTGCAAGGATCCAAGGACTTGGGCCATCTTCTATTGCTTTTCAAGGCCATAGCAGAGAGCTGGATTGGAAGTGGAGCAGCCAGGACTCGAACCAGCACCCATCTGGGATGCTGGCACTGCAGGTGGTGGCTTTACCCGCTAAGCCACAGCGCCGGCCCCAAGTGGTGTACTTTCATAATACATTTTGTGCATGTATCACAAAAGCCATATATTTTAATTCTAGGCTGATGGCATCCCTGAATGTGGAGGGCTGGAACTTTTGCATTAGTCTAGATCAGTCTCAGGACATGACGAAAGACCCCAGAAGTTGAATAATTTGAAAGCTGTCTTGGGGATTTTCACTGAGGCTTGTTCAGCCTGGGTCTACACAGAAACAGATTGAACTCCCAGGAAGATCTCATGTTGGCCCACTTTCTTGGGCTCCTGCAGACTGGGGGTAACCCATGATCACGGGTTCCTTCTGAGCTCTCACTTCTGTGACACTGTAGAATTAGGGCAAAGCACAGAGGAATCTGGGAAAACCAGAATGTTTAGGTGGTAGCTTGTATTCTTTCTAGATGAGTGTAAAGTTAGTGAGCAGAGCCATTGTCTGTACTGAGAGCTTGAGAGTGGCCCATGAGCAACGAGAATGAATAGGAGGCTCATATATTCTTTCTGCCGAGGGCATGAATCAGTAGCACCTGATGGTAAAGGGTGCTGGTAGCTTGTACTGGTGGAAGCACCTGATAGGAGAGGGCCTTGGTGGCTGATACACAACCCCGGAGCTAAACAGAGTGGTTAGACAATCCACAGGGCCAGAAGGTCTTGGCAGCTCACAGGAGCAGAGGGCCATGGCCTCTGGGTTGTGTATCCTCCAGAAGCAGAGAAGTCGCACAGCAAGTATAGGCAGAGGACCATAGAGGAAGGGCCGGGTAAGCAAACATGGGCTGTGAACCTGGCAGAGGGATTGCTGTGGTGGGATGGTTGGGGCATCCGGTAGGCAGACAGCCCTGGCCAAGTGATTGGTCAGCCAACCATGGGAAAGGAATTGGCGAACACACGTGAGAGGAAGGCCGTTGGTGGAGGGCCTGGGCAGCCCAGAGAGGCCATGGGTCCTGGCAGGGAAGAGTCTGCCACCTCTAACTTCTGGGTGTTGGCAAGTTCTGGGCATGTGCAGACTGTAGTTTCTGTCCCTTTGTGGGTACCTTTACCTGATCCAGCCTTCATCTTGGAGCTGTTTTTATTTTTACTTGCACTGAGTGGTGCTCTGCTAGTCTGTATGTTTATTCTAGTTCTCTCTTCTGTCTATACATTCTCTCCATGAAGATTGCCTCGGCCACTGATAATGATGGCTTTCCCAAAATGCATTTTAGGGAAATTATTGGGGCCAGTGCTGTGGTGTAGCAGGTGGGACTACCGGCTGCAGTGCTAGCTTTCCAAATGGGTGCCAGTTCAAATCGCAACTGCTCCACTTCCAATCCAGCTCTCTGCCATGGCCTGGGAAAGCAGTAGAAGATGGCTCAAGTCCCTTGGGCCCTGTACTTATGCCGGGGACCTGGAAGAAGCTCCTGGCTCCTGGCTTTGGATCGGCCCAGCTCCTGCTGTTGTGGCCATTTGGGGAGTGAACCAGTAGATGGAAGACCTCTCTTTCTCTCTCTCTGCTTCTGCCTCTCTGAAACTCTGCCTTTCAAATAAATAAATAAATCTTAAAAAAAGGCAGTGATGTCTATTAAAAAAAATTATCAAAAAAATGTGTAGTTGTTTTAGAACCTTGAACACAAAGCAAAAAGTGTAAAGAAGAATGTAGAATGTACTTTTAAGGAAGAACTTGGCCGGCGCCACGGCTCACTAGGCTTATCCTCTGCCTGTGGCGCCGGAACACGGGGTTCTAGTCCCGGTCGGGGCACCGGATTCTGTCCTGGTCGCTTCTCTTCCTGTCCAGCTCTCTGCTGTGACCTGGGAGTGCAGTGGAGGATGGCCCAAGTCCTTGGGCCCTGCACCCGCATGGGAGACCAGGAGAGGCACCTGGCTCCTGGCTTTGGATCAGTGCGGTGCGCCGGCCACAGGGGCCATTGGAGGGTGAACCAACGGAAAAGGAAGACCTTTTTTTCTGTCTGTCTCTCTCTGTCCACTCTGCCTGTCAAAAAAAAAAAAGGAAGAACTTAACATGTTGGCATATTTCTTTCTTTTTTTTTTAAATATTTATTTTATTTGAAAGACAGAGTTACAGAGAGAGGTAGAGACAGAGAGAGAGAGGTCTTCCATCCGCTGGTTCACTCCCCAGATGGGGCCTCAACGGCCAGAGCTGCGCCGATCCAAAGCCAGGGCCAGGAGCTTCTTCTGGGTCTCCTACGTGGGTGCAGGAGCCCAAAGACTTGGGCCATCTTCTACTGCTTAGATAAAATAAAGACCTCATCTTTATTTTTTTAAATAATGTTGGGTATTATTTCCAATGATTTACTATTACAAGTTATATTACAGTATACATTATCATATGTAAATGTTTGTATGCAACCGCAGTGGCTTCCTCAGTGAAAGAAAACGAGCCTCCTGCTCCCTGCCCCTCCCCTCCCCTCTCCTTCCCTCCCTCTCCCTTCCTCTCTCTCCCTCTTTCCCTCTCTCTCCCTTTCCTCCCTCCTCCTCTCTCTCCCTCTTTTCTCTCTGTTCCTGTCTCCCTCTCTCCTTCTCCCTCCCTCTCCTCTTTCTCCCTCTCTCCCTCTCCTTCTCCCTCCCTCCCTCTCTCTCCTTCTCCCTCTTTTTCTGCCACTCTGCCTTTCAGGTAACTAAAGTAAATCTTAATGTTTTTAAATTATGAAACAATTTCAGGCTTAAAACAATGAAAGTTATAAAATAATATAAAGAATGCCTGTGCCCCCTCCACCTAGATTTTACAGATGTTAGCATTTTGCCACATCGGCTTTGTCATTTCTTCTCTTCACGTGTACATACCAGGGGGTCTTCAGAAAGTTTGTGGAGAATGTGGCTTATGAAAAAATGTAAGAATTTCAAAACAAATTGTTTTAAATTCAATTTTTCCACAAACTTAAACAAATGACTGCTTTACTTTCATTTTATTGAAAGAAAGAAACAGGGAGGGATTGGCTGTCTGCTTGTTCGTTTCCCAAATGCCTTCTTCATATTGACTTTCATGGTATCTCTATTCAGTGTGTTATTTTTATGTGGTCAGATTTATGTCTTTTATTGTTTCTGGATTGCGACTCATAATTGGAAGGTGTTTCTCCCACCCACATACCCATGTTCTCTAGTATTTGGTTTCAATTTTGTGTATTGAAATCTCTGACCAATTTAGAGTCTGGTTGACAGTGTGAGGCATGAATCTAGTTCAATCCTTTTTCAAATTGCTATCCACTTGTCCCCAAACCATTATTTTTTTTTATTTATTTTTTTTTTTAATTTTTGACAGGCAGAGTGGACAGTGAGAGAGAGAGACAGAGAGAGAAAGGTCTTCCTTTGCCGTTGGTTCACCCTCCAATGGCCGCCGCTGCAGCCGGCGCACCGCGCTGATCCGATGGCAGGAGCCAGGATCCAGGTGCTTTTCCTGGTCTCCCATGGGGTGCAGGGCCCAAGCACCTGGGCCATCCTCCACTGCACTCCCTGGCCATAGCAGAGAGCTGGCCTGGAAGAGGGGCAACCGGGACAGAATCCGGCGCCCCGACCGGGACTAGAACCCGGTGTGCCGGCGCCGCAAGGTGGAGGATTAGCCTATTGAGCCACGGCGCCGGCTCCCCAAACCATTATTAAAAGTCATATTTTCCCCCAGAAAATTGAGATGCCATCCTATCTTATAGTAATTTTTTTTCATATATACATTAGTCTCTTTCTTGGCTTTCTTTTCTGCTCTGCTGCTGTGTTTAATCACTTGCCAGTACAATGTTATTCTAGAAGCTTTTCAGTGTGTTTACTATCTGATTAGCTTATTTCTCCTCATTGTTCTTTTTTAAAGGTTTTTTTTTTCAGTTCTTATATGTTAATTTTTTTTTCCCCACAAGAACTTTAACGTCAACTTACCCGGCTGCAGGAAATGAAAAACTTATACTTTTATTGGAGTTATTTTACATTTATATATTTACTTGGAAATTTTTATATCTTTTTGATGCTAATTCATTTATCCAGGAATAATGGGTCTTTTTATATTTGTTCAAATCTGTGTTTTTGTCTTTCTTTCAGGAGTTTTTTTTAAAATAAAAAAATTTTTAATTTATTTGAAAGAGAGACAGCAATCTCTCATCTGCTAGTTCAATCCCAAGATGCCTGCAACAGCCGGGGCTGGGCCATGCTGAAGCCAGGAACCTGGAACTCAGTCTAGGTTTCCAGGTGGATAGCAGGGAACCAAGATATCAACCCATCACCTGCTGCCTTCCAGGGCGTGCACTAGTGGGAAGCTAGAATGAAGAGCAGAGCCAGGATTTGAACCCAGGCCCTTTGATATGGGATGCAGGCGTCTTCACCACTATGCCAAATATTCACCCAGGGTTTTTTTTTTTTTTATTTTCTTTATGTAGGCTATCTACATTGCTTGTCGCTAAATGTGTTTCCAACTATTTTATCTTTTGTTGCTATTATAACTGGGATTTCTCTTGTATCTTCTAATGGATTATTGTTTGTATGTAAGAAGATGATTGATTTTTAACTTTATTTCCTGTTTGCTGAATTATTATACTGCTTGTTTTTTAAATCAGTTTATTATTCATTCTCTTGGGTTTTCTATATATATTTTAATGTATAAACTGTGGAAATAGTTTTATTTCTTCTTTCTCATTTCTTCTGTTTTATCTCATTTGCTTTGGTCCATACTTAATATGCCGTTAAATAGTTCTGACCTTAGTTTAATCACCTCTAGTATTTTCTATTATGTAAGATGTGTGTGATCATATAACATCATATAATATGAGCTTTAACTTATCTAGAATTTATCTTTTTGTAAGGAGCAAGATAAATTTTTAAAATTTATTTATTTGAAAGGCAGAATTACTGTAGGGGGTGGGGGAGAGACAAAGATCTTCCATCTACTGGGTCACTCCCTGAATGGCCTCAATGGCAGGGGCTGGGCCAGGCCCAAGCCAGGAGCCTGGAACTTGTAGCTCTTCTACGTGGGTGGCAGGGACCTAAGCACTTGGACCATCTGCTGCTGCTTTCCCAGGGACATTAGCAGGGAGCTGGATTGGAAGCTGAGCATTGGAACGTGACCCAGCACTCACATGGGATGCTGGTGTTGCAACTGGAGGCTTAACCCACTGAACTAGGATGCTGGCCCCTAGATTTTTTTTCTATTTAACTTCTGCTTTATCTTTATTGCAGCTGTCTTTCATGAGTTTGCTTTCATTTTATATTCATTTTCTGTTTTTTAGACAACAAAATTCATTAAGGTTATAGATTTTCCTGAGTATGGTTTTAACCACATCCTATAAATTTTGGTGTATATTCTTTGTATTTTTGTTCTTTTCTAAATAGTCTACCACTGACTTTTAGCTTTATTTTATTTTACTCTCTTTTCTTCTGGTTACTGGTTAGAAGAGTAGGTTCCAAGTTCTTGTTAGTAGGGTATTTTTTTTGTTTAAAACGTTATTTCCAACACTGTAACTGTGGTTGGATAACGTAGTCTAGTCTAATTTTTGGAGTTTATCGAGGTCTATTTTCAAACTTTATTGAGGTCTAATCTGTAGTCTGTTTTAATCCAAAGTTCATGAATTCTTTTTTTTTTTTTTTTGACAGGCAGAGTGGACAGTGAGAGACAGAGAGACAGAGAGACAGAGAGAAAGGTCTTCCTTTGCCGTTGGTTCACCCTCCAATGGCCGCCGCGGCCAGCACGCTGCGGCCGGCGCACCGCGCTGATCTGAAGGCAGGAGCCAGGTACTTCTCCTGGTCTCCCATGGGGTGCAGGGCCCAAGCACTTGGGCCATCCTCCACTGCCTTCCCTGGCCACAGCAGAGAGCTGGCCTGGAAGAGGGGCAACCGGGACAGAATCCAGTGCCCCGACTGGGACTAGAACCTGGTGTGCCGGCGCCGCAAGGCAGAGGATTAGCCTAGTGAGCCGCGGCGCCGGCCAGTTCATGAATTCTTGAAAAGAAATTGTCATCTTCTTGTAGGTTTCAAAAATAGCTATATATGTACTAGCCTGATGTTTCATATTTAATATAATTATTGGTATGTTAATTATGTTTATTGTTATTATACAATTGTCTATTTTCTCATCTTATTTCTGTTAACTTTGTTACGAACCTACTGATGTGTTAGAATCTCTTATAGTTTTATTAGTTTCTTTTTGTATTTCTACTGGCTTTTCAAAAATTTGGATTTCTTAATTGATGCATAAAACTTAATGACTTATACCTTTGTTATATATTAGAACCCTTTTCAAGGTAAAAGAGTTTTCATGCTCTCATAGTCCCATTTAATGTTTTTAATTTGGCCTTGTATCTGTCTTCAATCTTAGTATTTCCACTCCTTTTTTAAATTGATCTTTTTTTATTTTCAACCTTTCTATCTTACCTTGTTCTAGATGTGTTTCCTGCCTGGAGTACATTGTTGAATTTTGTTTTATTATGAACAGTCTGAATATTTTTGCATTTTGAGTCAATGATGTCTTACTCTTTTCTCACATAAATAGATATGGGGAGGTTGTTAACATTAATCTCGTGCGGGACAAGAAGACTGGAAAATCCAAAGGTTTCTGCTTCCTCTGCTATGAAGACCAGAGGAGCACGATTCTGGCTGTTGACAATTTTAATGGGATCAAGGTGAGCATGCCTAGTGAACAGAATTTGGCTGGACTCTGTGTGTCTATCCGTACAGGTGCAGGGGCAGTACTGGGCAGCTGGGTGTGTGGCAAGGACTACAGAGGTGTGGAGGCATTCTTCAGAAAGTGATTCAGGAGATGATGCTGTTGGCCCATGGCCCTGTCAAGACCTGTTCCTTTCCCCCGTATGTGAGCAAGCCTTCTCCCCAGGAACATGCCTGCCGCCCATCCCATCCTGCATTTTTCACCTTTCCCTCTTCACCCTCTGCCCTCATCTCTGGTGCACTGGAGAGCAAAGAGACTAGCAAATGTGTTTTTCCATGTGTGCTATGTTGGTGGAGTTGGGCCTCATAGGACACAGCCATGTCTATCTGTCATGTGTCTCCAGTGCCCTAGCACACTGGGCCCTGGAAATTCTCTGGTGAAAATCTGATGACCAGTTCTACAAAAAACTCATTCTGGGATTTCTCCCTTCTCTCTTTCCTCTCATCTCCCCCATTGTGAGTGAGGCCTGGAGCTGAGAGAAGAGGATGGGACAAGTTAGGTTTATCTGTGCTCCACATGATCCCCACACTCATTTAGCAAAGACCCTTCAGTTGGAGTGAGCATTGTTCAGGCTCAGATGTGACTCCTGCCTTTGAGAATTTGTCACTGGTTGTGCCAGTACGGAGTGGCTGGAGATTATAGAACAGAGTGGAGCAGTGTGCCAGGCTTAATTTTTAAGGGAGCCAGCAGCCAGAGGGAGTTACCATAAAAGGGAGGCTTCTAAAAATGTTTCAGAATGGAGAATAGGATAGTTGATGAAGGTATTCAAGCCCAAAGAACAGAATAAAAATCTGTTCTTGAATTGGAACAATAAAAGTTAAGCTTTTCAAATTTCAAATTAATTCGTCTATGTAATAAGTCTGTATCTGTCAGAAAATAGAATTTTTTTAAAAAAAGATTTACTTATATTTATTTGAGAGGCAGAGTGACATTGAGAGAGAAACACAAGTGTTTCCATCCTCTGATTCACTCCCCAAATGCCCACAACAGCCAGGTCTGGGTCAGGCCACAGCCAAGAGCCCAAATTCCTGGGCCATCATCTGCTGCCTTTCCAGGCTCATTAGCAGGAAGCTGGATCAGGAGCAGAGCAGCTGAGACTCAAACAGGCACTCCAATATGGGATATAGGCATGCCCGGTGGTGGCCTAACCCATTGCACTGCAACTCCTGTCCCAGAATGAATTTTAAGTGAGGAGCAATTTTGTGATTCCCCTGTGGGAGTTGTGATTCACAGCACAGGAATCGATGTAGGCTGATTGTTCTGGTATGGTGAGGGTAGAACAAGGCATGAGAGCTTAAGAAGAAGAAATTGGTCTTTTCTCCATTTCTCTCACCTTTCTACTTGTTGGTCCACTTTTACCTCCTCCTAACGACTGTGCTGAGCTTAAGCTAGACTTCAGGAATTCCTTCTAGCTGCCAGGCTTTTCCAGGACAGCTAATGATACGATATTACAGAGTGGGGCAGTTGGTTGCTGTCCCTCTGAATTCTCATGGTCCTCTGTGATGCTTGTGCTCCTGGGCAGTGCTTCTCGGCCTTTGTTCACATGAAAGTATTTGTATCTCGCCCTGGGGTACGCCGATGAGAATGCTAGTACAACTGTCCCGGGCCCAGCTGGCTGCCGCTGCCCTAAAGGCTGAATGGGTTACCATCTAGGCACACCTGCAGTGATTCAGACTGGTTGAGTGGGTCTGCTGTGGCGGTTTCTGCAGTAATAGAATTAGAGAGAGGGTAATAGATGGCGTTCAAACAGCTGGACAGTTTGAAATGAAGCCTGCCTTTTTGAGACGTTGCCTGTTTTTCTTAGATCAAAGGAAGAACTATCCGAGTAGATCATGTGGCTAATTATCGGGTTCCTAAAGTCTCAGAAGACATGGACGATGTGACCAGAGAGCTCCAGGCGATGGGCTGTGGTGTTAATACCCCCTCACCGAGTTCATCTGAGGATTCTGAAGAAGAGAAACCCATAAAAAAGCACAAAAAAGGTAAAACATTCAAACCCAAGAGAAACTTGGCAGTCTTAGCATCTGTTCCTCCTAGAGTTCATTGATGGTTGATAATCGGGTCATAAGTATGCGAAGGAGAGGTGGGGGGACCTTATTTTAATTGGGGAAGGGGAGGTGTCAGCAGAAGACTCCTGTTCTGGGTTGAATTGTGTTCCCCAGAATCGACACGTTGAACTCCTCACCCCTAGTCCACTGTGACTGCATCTGGACATGTGGTTTTCAGAGAGAGACTGGAGTGGGAATGGCCGTGCCCAGCAACTTGACGTTGCGGGTGACAGACATCGAAGTTGCTTCCCCGCGGCACTTTCCCAGAAGCACAGGGTGACGGCTTCACGCTGCTGCCCAGCCTATTTTCCTTGCCCATGGGCTCCCCTCCCGGCAGGCAGGCATTGGTAAACTGGTCTACCTTTGCTGGATGTCACGTACACGGAGAGGAAAGACATGGCTTTAGGGAGTTCTATTTCCCTTTTGTTACCGATTGTCGCCCTTCTCCTCCAGACAAAATGGAAAAAAAGAAAAGACGGAAAGAGAAAGAGAAAGAGAAGAGTGACCGGACAGTACTGGTCGAGCAACCATCTCCCTCTTCCTTGCCCAGAAGCAAGACAATAAAGGAAAAGGATGAGCCTGGCCCTAAGACAAGCAGCACCAAGGGCTCCGAGAAGGTGCCGAAGTCGGAGTCCAGGGAAGCACGGAAGCACTACCCTGTCTCCCCTGAGGTCAGAACTGTCCCCCGCGGTGGAGTTGAGGACCTGGCCAGGGAGCTGAAGAAGGAGAAATCCAAGCATGAGCACAGGTCCTCCGACAGGAGAGAGGCCAGAGAAGAAAGGAACAGGGATAGGGACAAAGGACGAAGCTCAGACGCGTGTTCTAGCTGGCACAATGGGCATTCGGATGGGTGGAGCCATCGGAGTAGAAGTCGGAGCCGAGATCGATCTCACAGACAGAAGAAGTCCCGTAGCTCCCGGGAGCGGGAGTCCTCAAATCTCAGTGAGCGTAGGCGTCACTGAAGCCAGTTCAGCCGCTCGGTAGATCTGGAAATGAAATGTGTTTCTAAAATGCAGTCAGATTCAGCTACGCCATTACTTCTCCATATGAAATCTCTAGAGCTGATTTTTAAAAAATCCCTTGAGTAGTGGAGTCCTTGAGAAGGCTGTGGTTTCATTGGCAGATACCCTGCATTTTCTAGTACAATCCATCATCCCTGGAAATATACTTGGAACTTAACAGAGAACGTGTCCTGAATTTTCGTTCATAAATTGGCCATGGGGCCCATAGCCCCCCCAGCTTGAGATGAAATTGCCAGAAAAGGAAAATTACAGACAATTCTAGAGGCCTAGTCTTTGTCTTCAATGTTGAGAACCCAGCATTCTAAGACTTCCAGTTAGCAGGTAGAACTGCAGTGAAGTGTGGTTTAACTAGGTTCAGACAGCTGGAGGTGAATGTGATGGGATTCTTTTTTTTTTTAAGTATTAATTTTATTTATTTGAAAGGCAGTGTTACAGAGGAAGGGAGGGAGAGACACAGAGATCTTCCATCTGCTGGTTTACTCCCCAAATGGCCACAACAGCCAGGGCTGGGCCAGGCTGAAGCCAGGAGCCAGGGACTCCATCCAGGTCTCCCACATGGGTTTGGGGACCCAAGTACTCAGGCTATCTTTCACTGCTTTGCTGGGCGCATTTAGCAGAGAACTGGATCGGAAGTGAAGCAGCTGCAGCTCAAAACTGTTGCTCATCTGAGATGCCAGCATCACAGGAGGCAGCTTACCACTGCACTACAACGCCAGTGCCTGATGGGATTCTTAAGAACAACCAGCTCCCTCTCTAAACCCTGTTTGAAAACAGCTTTAAATGTCTTGTCTTTTTCTTTTTTTGGTTGAGATATTTTTCCACATACTTTTTTCCCTTGGAATTCTTTGTATTGATGTGAAATGCAGATAACATAAAGTTAACCAATTCAAAGCAATTCAGTGGCACTTATATTCACCATGTTGTGCAAACACCACCTGTGTCTAGTTTTGAAGCATTCACATTGTCCCCAAATAAAACCTAATACCTATTAAGCAATAACGTGCCATTACCCCTATCCTCCCTGTCCCTGGAAGCCACCCATCTGCTTTCTGTGTCTATGGATTTGCCTGTTTGGGATGCTCCACAGAGCAGGAATCACACAGCAGTGGCGTTTTGTGTCTGGCTTCCTTCACTAAGCATAATGTTTTCTAGGTTCATCCATGTTATAGCATGTATCAGTACTGCACTCTGTTTTAAGGCTCAATAATATCCTGTTGAGAGACCACGCTTTGTTTCTCCATTCCTTGGGACGGACGTTAGGATTGTTTCTACCTTTGGTTAGTCAGCTTCCTGTTTTGTGTGCAGACACGCCAGGCGACCTTCTGTGCTTGGTTTGCTTTTCACGTAGCCGCTCTTGCTCAGGTGGGAACACTGGTAGCTCCATCGCACACCTCTGGTCTGATTGGTAGTTCCTTCTCATTTTGAATCTTAGTTTCTATTATAGCACTCAGCCCCTTATGAATTTGGCAGGAACTGGTTCACAGGCCCTGCTGCAGTCTTTTTTTTTTTTTTTTTTTTAGTTAAAAAAATTTTTAAACCTTTATTTAGCAAATATAAATTTCCAAAGTACAGCTTATGGATTAGAGTGGCTTTTTTCCCCCTATACTTCCCTCCAACCTGCAACCCTCCCATCTCCCGCTCCCTCTCCCCTTCCATTCACATCAAGATTCATTTTTCAATCTTTATATACAGAAGATTGATTTAGTATATATTAAGTAAAGATTTCAACAGTTTGCACCCACACAGAAACACAAAGTGTAAGTGTACTACTGTTTGAGTATTAGTTATCCTGCTGCAGTCTTAATGTTGAATTTCTTTTTTTTAAGTTCTCATTTTTAAAAAAGATTTTATTTGAAATGCAGTCACACACAGAGAGAAGGAGATACAGAGAAGGGTATCCGCCATCTGCTGGCCACAACAGCCAGGGCTGGGCCAGGCCAAAGCTCAGAGCTTCATCTGGGTCTCCCATGGGGGTTTAGAGTCCCAAGCAATTGGGCCATCTGCTGCTTTCCCAGGCACATTAGCAGGGAGCTGGATCAGGAGTAACCAGGACTCAAACCAGCACCCTTATGAGGTGCTGGTGCTATAGGTGGCAGCTTAAGCTGCTATGCCACAAGGCTGGCCCCTTAACGTTGAATTTCCGACCCTGCCAATGGGAGGGCCAGTGCTTTAACAGTGAGCACGCTTTCTTAACGTTACCCTGAGTGGTAGTTTGGGTCCTTGATTACAGGTACAGGGCTTTTTTTTTTCCCCAGGGATAGAACGCCTGAAAAGGAAAATGGAGCAGGAGATGGAGGAGTCTGGGAAAGCTGTCAGACTGTGGTGCATGTCTGACCTCTGGAGAAGCAAGGAAGGAAAGAAGGTGAGTAAAGAAAGTCTTACAGGGCAGGTCTCAGAAGTTCTAGCAAAACTGATGTTGAGTCCTCGAGCCAGAGCCACTTGTCAGAGGAGGCCTGTTTAGTCAGTTTGGTAATCAGGAGTCTGCTGTGGGCCTCTGCTTCAGCCATTGTGGCTACTTTGCTCAAGTCCCAGTTCCTGGTAGCCAGTTGTGAAGGCTCATGCAATTGACTAGGTCATTTTGTGTGGTTTTTCTGTATATGGCAAGGAGCTGGATCATACAGTTGTGGGCACTGGTTAGGCAAGTATGACATTCACAAAACAGGAGCTGACACTGCAGTCCACAGGCAGAATTTTTTCAGGGAAACCATAGCTTGCTCTTAAGGCCTTCAACTGATTGGATGAGGCCCACCCAGGTCATCAAGGATGATCTTTCATTTATTTTAAAGATTTATTTATTTGAATGTCAGAGTTAAAAAAAGAGAGGGAGAGACTGGGAGAAACATCTCCCATCTGCTGGTTCATTCCCTAGATGGCTGCAATGGTTAGCACTGTGCCAGGCCAAACCAGGAGCCAGGAGCTTCATCCAGGTCTCTCACATAGGTGGTGGCAGGGGCCGAAGCACTTTGGCCATCTTCTGATTTCCCAGGCACGTTAGCAGGGAGATGGATTCGAAGTAGAGTAGCAGGAACATGAACTGACACCCATATGGGATACTGGTGTCATAGGTATTGGCTTTACCCTCTGTGACAACACTGGCCCCATAATTTCTTCTTAAAAAAACTGTAGGGGCGGGGCTGGTGCTGTGGCATAGCAGGAAAAGCCACCGCCTATAGTGCTGGCATCCCATATGGGCATCAGTTTGAGTCCTGGCTGCTCCACTTCCCATCCAGCTCTCTGCTGTGGCCTGGGAAGGCAGCGGAAACACTTGGGCCACTGCATCTGTGTAGGAGACCTGGAAGAAGCTCCTGGCTCCTGGCTTTGGATTGGTGCAGCTCTGACCGTTGGGACCAACTGGGGAGTAAACCAGCAGATGGAAGACCTCTCCCCCCAACCCTGCCTCTCTGTGTAACTGACTTTGAAATAAATAAATAAATCTTTTTTTTTTTTTTTGACAGGCAGAGTGGACAGTGAGAGAGAGAGAGAGACAGAGAGAAAGTTCTTCCTTTGCCGTTGGTTCACCCTCCAATGTCCGCCGCGGCCGGTGCGCTGCGGCCAGCGCACCGCGCTGATCCGATGGCAGGAGCCAGGTACTTATCCTGGTCTCCCATGGGGTGCAGGGCCCAAGCACTTGGGCCATCCTCCACTGCACTCCCTGGCCACAGCAGAGAGCTGGCCTGGAAGAGGGGCAACCGGGACAGAATCCGGCGCCCGGACCGGGACTAGAACCTGGTGTGCCGGCGCCGCTAGGCGGAGGATTAGCCTAGTGAGCTGCGGCGCCGGCCAATAAATAAATCTTAAAAAAAAAAAAAAAACTGTAGGGGGCTGGTGCTGTATTGTAGCAGGTAAAGCTGCCACCTGCAGCACTGGCATCCTATATGGGTACCAGTTAAAGTCCTGGCTGCTTGGCTTCCAATCCAGATCCCTGCTAATGTGCCTGGGAAAGCAGCAGAAGATGGCCCAAGTACTTGGGCCCCTGCACGCATATTAGAGACCTCGAAGAGGCTTCTGGCTCCTGGCTTCAGCCTGGCTCAGCCCTGGCTTTTGCAGCCATTTGGGGAGCAAATGGAAGATCTTTCTCTCTCTGCCTCTGCCTCTCTCTAACTCTGCCTTTTAAATAAATAAATAAATTATAAAAACAAAACAAAACCAATTGTGGTGTTAACCACATCTACAGTATATACCTTCATAGCAACACCTGGACCAGTGTTTGAATAATGGGACTCTATAGCCTAAGCCAAGTTGACACACAAAAATAGTCATCACAAATGACCATCTTGTCCACTTGACTTTCCTCACTGATAACCTTTACCCCACAGGCCAAGACACATTGGTGTTACTCCAACTCCCAAATTAGTTCTAGGTACATGCTGGGGGCTAGGAAATGACCCCTGGGAAATTCAGCAGGCCCACTGTGAGGCCTATTTTAGGCAGCACTTCATAAGCCCCCCAGTCCACTAGGGGTCCGTGATGATGCTTCCAGTCTCGGGCTCAGGCAGTTTAGATGCTGAGTCCCGTACTGGAAATGTGTGGTGGTTCTTTCCCCAGTGTACATGTAGTTTAGTAAGTGGCTGGAGGTCCTGTAGCAGCCAGGACTCAAACTTGTCGCTCCCCCTCTTCGTGGAGGAACGACACAGGACCCTGTGCTGTTCTTTCGTCTGCTCGGCCCTCCCCGGGTTTGCTGCTGGTTCTTCCCGGGTTGGCTACTATCCCTTCCACCTCCGTGGAAGGGCAGTTCCCCCTGCCACATTCCCCACTTCCGCAGGGGAGCGGCACACCGCCGGCTGGCTCTCTCGGGGGCTGCACAGGTGTTCCCCTTAGATGTTCCCCTTAGATGTTCCTGGTGCATGCCGTCTCTCTCCTCCTTTATAGTCCTCCTCTGCCAATCCCAACTCGGCTGCCCACACGCCGAGTACGCTGCTCTCCTCCAATCAGGAGCAAGTCCTACAGTTTATTGGTTGAACTGGAGGCAGCTGTGTAGAAGCTGTTTTCTTCTCTCCCAGCGCCATATTGTGGGAGAGCAGGTGCATAGAATAAGTCTCAATTCCAGTAACAGTCTAGTCCGAGCTGCTCCCCACACAAACTGGCACCCATATGGGGTGTTGGCATCATATGGTAGCTTAACCTGCTGTGCCACAACACTGGTCTCCTGGCAAGGTTTTGGACTTCACATAATCTGTCCACTCTGGCATGCCCACTTCCCTTGGCTTTTGTGTTCCTTCCTTTGCTGTCTCCTGGGCAGCTCAGGCCTTTGTACCTTGCTTAGCATTAGCAGGCCTCTGAGAGCCACTGGAGTAGACTTTTTGCCCCTTGTTGTTCTTGCCAGGGGGTTAAATCCTATATCCTGAGAAAGGTCTTCCAAGTCTGACTTCTAGCTTTTCTGGCCCTTTTAATAATCAAAGCACCCTTGAAATGCAAACCCACCACTTTCCTGACTCCTGCCAGTGGGTGCCAGCTAATTCTTGCGGCTCTGTAGTATACACCTCCTTCTTCATTGGGCCCCGTGCATTGCCTGTGAGGTTACGTTGGGATTAAATCCTAATTAACAGTGAATAGCCAGGACAGGACCTGGGGACGGCTTTGCAGGGCACTGGTTGCCTGGTGCGGGGAGCAGACTTGCTGCATCTTCTGGCACAGGGGAGTGTTAGGCCTCACTCACGAAGAGTGGGCCCCTCTGCAAACTGCCGGCTGTGCCGAGTGTGCTGAGCCAGCACCCTCAGGGGCGTCCAGCCATGTGTTTGCGTCCAATGTTTCAGGGCCCCAGGTCTCTGCTAGCACATGAAGTGCGGCCCTGACCTCAGCAGAACAGAGTTGCTCCATGGTAAACACTGCACTTTTAATCTCCCTGGACTTCCGCAGCACTGGCCCATCTTGTCCTGCCTGGCTGTGTTTGCTCCTCACTGTGGGAGATAAGGGCCCTCTGTGGGTTTCATGGAAGCCCTTTGGCTCTCACAGTCTATCTTTAGCCACTTAACTGTCCTCCATTTAGCATCACACTGCTGAGCACGCCTGCCTTCTCCACTAGCTTTGCAGGCCTTACTCCCCCAGATTTGTCAAAGGTCTGAGATGGCATACCTGCAAGGCCATCTGCCCAAGTCATCACAGAAGCAGGTGGAATGCCGCCCCGTGGCTGCGGCTATTCAGGCCCTCCAGACAATGAGAGAACCTCACCCCGCCACGGCCTGTTTCCTGGACCACCACTGGCACCATTTGTGCTGGTTTGAGTTC